CTTGAATCTAAACAGGTATTCTAAAAGGATTACACTTTTTGTTTTATTTAGCACACACTGAAAATAAAAGCCTTATGTAGAGATTTTGCGTGCAAATGCGTCAAAACATAGCTGCGACTGATATGTCTTGTCATAAGCTTTCAGAGGTCACAGTGAAGGAAAGTCTGTGTGATTTTCACTGCCATTGAAGTGGAGCAGTTATGTTGCCACTTGTCTGCTGGCAAATTGAAACGTTGACTAACGACTCACACCAAACTGGAGTTTCCTGAAGTTGACGCACGTTAGCTTTGAAAAAAGCGGCTAATCCCGCTTTGTGCAGACAGACAGATGTCGTGTTGAATTCAAACGTACTATTGTAAACATTTAAAAGAAGAAGAAGAAGAAGAACGACGTGATCTTGATCTTCCGGTAAAAGAAGAATCAGGAACATATTTTATCCCCTTTGGTGCTAACAATTTCTTGTACTATCCTGATATGTGTCTTATAAGTGACATACCGTTTTTTTACTCCCTCTTGTCTTTATGTATCAGCTGGTATCAGGATATTGTAGTTAGAGAACCAACCCATCCATTGCTCTTAATTAAACACAATTCAGCATTCATTATGATCATTTGAAGAGTTCTGGAAACATCACAGCAGCAGATGTTCATATCATAGGACATAGTCTTGGTGCTCAAACAGCTGGCTATGCCGGAGAGAGAATCCCCAGATGTGGTCGAATATCTGGTGAGTGTGGCTTGTGCGTCTATGGTTCTTGTCGTGTGGAAGCTTGTAACAATGTTGTGTACCGTGAATGGTGGTTTTATAAAAAGACGAAGAACAGAAAACACTGACAGTTAAAGTGAGCGATCTGTGATTATAAGTGTGTGTGTATGTGTGTGTGAGTGTATGTGTTTATGTGTGTGCATGTGTGTGTATGTGTGTGTGTATGTGTGTGTGTATGTGTGTGTTTATATGTGTGTATGTGTGTATATGTATGTGTGTATGAGTGTGCGTATATATGTGTGTGTTATGTGTGTATGTGTGTGTACGTGTGTGTATGTGTGTGTGTATATGTGTGTGAGTGTGTGCGTGTGTTCCTTTATGGCGTACACACCGTCACCGTGTGTGTGTATGTGTATGTGTGTGTGTATTTGTGTGTGTATGTGTGTGTGTGTGTGTGTGTCTGGATTCAGTGAAGATAGTCTTTAATCAATGGAGTGAGGAAGCGGAAGATGAAGAAGAAAAAAATGATGATAATAATGATGATGGTAATGATGATAATAATGATGATGGTTATGATGATAATAATGATGATGGTAATGATCATAGTAATGATGATAATAATGATGATGGTAATGATGATAATAATGATGATGGTAATGATCAAGAAAAACGTGGACTACTTTGGAGAATGAAAATAATAATATAATAGCAATAATGAGCAACATCTTCTTCTATGCTTCTGCTGCAGCTGCTACCACTAATACTTTAACTGCTAAAACTAATACAACTACTATTACTTCTAATACTACAACAACTACAACAACAACTACTACTACAACAACAACAGCAGCAACAATTACTACTACTACTACTACTACTACTACTACTACTACTACTACTACTACTACTACTACTACTACTACTACTACTACTACTACTACTACTACTACTACTACTACTACTACTAATTCGTCTTCTCTTTCTTATGGTTGATACTGTTGTTGTTATCATTATATTATTACTATTATGTAGTCATAACTTGTATGCAGTGTCCGTGTAGCCCCACGATTCAGTGCGGCTACAAATCCAAAATTCCGCGCCATCTTTATCAAATGTAGATGTCTACTGCGGCGCAGAAAATATATGATCATAAAACTAATTTGTAACCCAGGTAAAATAAATACCTTAAAAAACAATTCTTCACATTAATCATAATCAAATAGTCACATCCAATCTTTCATATCGGCTCATTTCAATCCATAGATAGGTACGATTTTCCCAAAAGCTATCGAATAACATTTGAAAAGTTGTACTTTATTTATTACTGAAAACAAGCGGCACTGTAAGAGTGTTGTGTTTTGGGAAGGAGAGAATGCTACAGTATATATAAATGATATATTCCCCAATACCAACTGATCTCTTCCCTAAAACCAACTGATATCTTTCCCAATACCAACTGATATCTTCCCCAATACCAACTGATATCTTCCCCAATACCAACTGTTATCTTCCCCAATACCAACTGTTATCTTCTCCAATACCAACTGTTATCTCCCCCAATACCAACTGTTATCTTCCCCAATACCAACTGTTATCTTTCCCAATACCCACTGTTATCTTCCCCAATACCAACTGTTATCTTTCCCAATACCCACTGTTATCTTCCCCAATACCAACTGTTATCTTCCCCAATACCAACTGTTATCTTTCCCAAAACTAACTGATATCTTCCGCAATACCAACTGTTATCTTCCCCAATACCAACTGTTATCTTTCCCAATACCAACTGATATCTTCCCCAAAACTAACTGATATCTTCCCCAATACCAACTGTTATCTTTCCCAAAACTAACTGATATCTTCCCCAATACCAACTGTTATCTTTCCCAATACCAACTGATATCTTCCCCAAAACTAACTGATATCTTCCCCAATACCCACTGTTATCTTTCCCAATACCAACTGATATCTTCCCCAAAACTAACTGATATCTTCCCCAATACCCACTGTTATCTTCCCCAATACCCACTGTTATCTTCCCCAATACCCACTGTTATCTTTCCCAATACCAACTGATATCTTCCCCAAAACTAACTGATATCTTCCCCAATACCAACTGATATCTTCCCCAAAACTAACTGATATCTTCCCCAATACCAACTGATATCTTCCCCAATACCAACTGATATCTTCCCCAAAACTAACTGATATCTTCCCCAATACCCACTGTTATCTTCCCCAATACCAACTGATGTCTTCCCCAAAACTAACTGATATCTTCCCCAATACCCACTGTTATCTTCCCCAATACCAACTGATGTCTTCCCCAAAACTAACTGATATCTTCGCCAATACCAACTGATGTCTTCCCCAAAACTAACTGATATCTTCGCCAATATCAAGTGAAATACTCACTAATGAAAGCTAATGCCTTCCCCACTACCAACCGATCTGTAATATCAGTTGCCGTCTTTCATTGTGGAGACGGCCACCCACCTACCGTAGCATACTTGCTGGACTTTGATTAATAGCTGTGGCATTCAGGTGCTTATTTATGGCCAAACATCACTATCACCATGCAGAACTTTGCAGAACGTTGCTCTTTTCGTGACACGATTTAAAAAAATCAGTCCATCGCGAACACTCCTGTCACGTGAACTTTCCCGCTTCGCCAACTTTCCCGCTTCGCCAACTTTCCCGCCTCGCCAATTTTCCCGTCTCGTCAACTTTCCCGCCTCGTCAGCTTTCCTGCGAGATTGTCCTTGGTATCCGGTGTCCACCATCATTCTGGTCAGCTCATCTTTCTTCTTTCCAGAACTAAACAGTCCGTTACTATTTTCTTCAAACTGTACGATGTATAGTGAGCCCGATTTATTGCAATTTATTTCAGAAAAACGATACAGCTTATCTGTAAATATTTAGAGAAACCCAATTTGATGTTGCCGTTTGATATGTCATTATTTAGAGAAACTCATTCTGATGTTGACGTTTTATATGTCATTTTTTAGAGAAACCCATTCTGATGTTGACGTTTTATGTCATTATTTAGAGAAACACATTCTGATTTTTACGTTTTATATGTCATTATTTAGAGAAACCCAATTTGATGTTGACGTTTTATATGCCATTATTTAGAGAAACCCATTCTGATGTTGACGTTTTATATGTCATTTTTTAGAGAAACCCATTCTGATGTTGACGTTTTATGTGTCATTATTTAGAGAAACCCAATTTGGTGTTTACATTTTATATGTCATTATTTAGAGAAACCCATTCTGATGTTGACGTTTTATATGCCATCATTTAGAGAAACCCATTCTGATGTTGACGTTTTATATGTCCTTATTTAGAGAAACCCAAGTTGATGTTGACGTTTTATATGTCATTATTTAGATAAACCCTTCTGATGTTGACGTTTTAAATGTCATTATTTAGAGAAACCCAATTTGATGTTGACGTTTTATATGTCATTATTTAGAGAAACCCAATTGGATGTTGATGATTGATATCTCATTATTTAGAGAAACCCATTCTGATGTTGACGTTTTATATGCCATTATTTAGAGAAACTCATTCTGATGTTGACCTTTTATATGTCCTTATTTAGAGAAACCCAAGTTGATGTTGACGTTTTATATGTCATTATTTAGAGAAACCCAATTCTGATGTTGACGTTTTATATGTCATTATTTAGAGAAACCCAATTTGATGTTGACGTTTTATATGTCATTATTTAGAGAAACCCATTCTGATGTTGACGTTTTATATGTCATTATTTAGAGAAAACCAATTCTGATGTTGACGTTTGATATGTAATTATTTAGAGAAACCCATTCTGATATTGACGTTTTATATGTCACTATTTAGAGAAACCCATTCTGATGTTGACGTTTTATATGCCACTATTTAGAGAAACCCGTTCTGATATTGACGTTTTATATGTCACTATTTAGAGAAACCCATTCTGATGTTGACGTTTTATATGCCACTATTTAGAGAAACCCATTCTGATATTGACGTTTTATATGTCACTATTTAGAGAAACCCATTCTGATATTGACGTTTTATATGTCACTATTTAGAGAAACCCATTCTGATATTGACGTTTTATATGTCAATATTTAGAGAAACCCATTTTGATGTTGACGTTTTATTTTTCATTATTTAGATAAACCCTTCTGATGTTGACGTTTTATATGTCATTATTTAGAGAAACCCATTCTGATATTGACGTTTTATATGTCAATATTTAGAGAAACCCATTTTTATGTTGACGTTTTTTTTTTTTTTTTCATTATTTAGATAAACCCTTCTGATGTTGACGTTTTATATGTCATTATTTAGAGAAACCCATTTTGATGTTGACGTTTTATGTGTCATTATTTAGATAAACCCTTCTGATGTTGACGTTTTATATGTCATTATTTAGTGAAACCCATTTTGATGTTGACGTTTTTTGTGTCATTATTTAGATAAACCCACTTTGATGTTGACGTTTTATATGTCATTATTTAAATAAATCCACTTTGATGTTGACGTTTTATATGTCATTATTTAGATAAACCCACTTTGATGTTGACGTTTTATTTGTCATTATTTAGAGAAACCCACTTTGATGTTGACGTTTTATGTGTGATTTTTTAGAGAAACCCATTCTGATGTTGACGTTTTATTTGTCAATATTTAGAGAAACCCATTGTGATGTTGACGTTTTATATGTCATTATTTAGAGAAACCCAATTTGATGTTGACGTTTTATTTGTCATTATTTAGAGAAACCCACTTTGATGTTGACGTTTTATATGTCAATATTTAGAGAAACCCATTGTGATGTTGACGTTTTATGTGTCATTTTTTAGAGAAACCAAATTTGATGTTGACGTTTTATGTGTCATTATTTAGAGAAACCCATTTTGATGTTGACGTTGTATGTGTCATTATTTGGAGAAACCCATTCTGATTTTGACGTTTTATGCGTCATTTATATAGACACCCATTCTTGTGTTGACGTTTTATGAAATAAAGAACTATGTTTGCAATATTGGTTGCAGGTCTTGACCCGGCTGGGCCATTATTCGTAGGAACACCCACAGAGGTACGATTGGATCCAAGTGACGCAGTGTTTGTCGACACCATACATACAGATATGCCCTACACTTTAAGACCCAGTAAGGATCTTTTAATTATATTTTCACGATGTTACGATATATACTATTCGTCCAAATTCAAAGGCCACTTTTAGAAAAATCTTGGTTGAAACCGTTAAAACAAATCTGATTCAAAAGTACGGAATATAAGTGAAAATGGCATTTATTGAAAACATGTTGACATGTCACTTAAAGAAATGGAAAGACGGATCTAAACGCAATGAAGCTGTGAATTGGCGACTTAACTTTTTCAATAGTCACACAATAGATAGTGGACGACTAGACAACACTTTCTTCACTGAATCAATGTGCTTGAATATAAGTGTATTGAAAATATTAAGGTGGCTTTTGTCCTTTATCGAGTAGTATATACTGGTAATTGCATAACGTAAGTGGTATTACTTCTATCAGGCCGGTTTTAAGACCTGTATCATGCATGTTTTGATATTTGTATCACATATATTGTGATAGATGTGTCATGCCGGTTTTAACAATGGCAAGAAACAGGTTTAGAAACATTTTTGAATGCAGTAGTTGTACTTCTATCACCAGCCCGGCTCTCTAGCGTAGTTGGCTAAACCGTATTGCACGGTGACCGGGGGACGAACTCCTTGTGGTCCGGGTTCACTCACAGGGGTAGGCAGAAAAGCCACATTTCTACCAGATTTACGGTATTTTCAATGGAATCAAGGCCGAAAGGTTGCGAAATCCATAATACCGAGCCTTACGGTTAACAACTCATGGCTTCTGGATACTAAAAACAAAACAAAACTTCTATCACTACGGTGTTGATAATTGCGTCATAACGATTCTTACACATGTATCTCGCAGGTTTTGATACTTGTATCATGTAGGTTTCGATGTCTTGTATCATGCATTTTATGATCCTTGTATCGTGCAGGTTTAAACGCTTGTATCATTCGGCATTCAATCCTGTATCATGCATGATTTGATACTTGTATCATGTGGATTTTGAACATTTGCATTAAGCAGGTTTCCATACCTCTATCACTTAAATTTGAGACTTCTCTCCTTTAAGTATTAACACCTGCATCGTGGAAATTTTGATACTTGTATCATGCAGACATTACCGCCTGCGTCATGCAGATTTTAACATTTGTATCGTAATAATGTTGACACCTGTAGTTTGCAAGAGTCGATACTTGCATCATACAGGTTTTGATACATATATTTTGCTAGTTTTTATGCGTGTCTCGTGCAGGTTTTCATACGTGTAATACGCAGATTTTGACTCTTGTATCATGCAGGTATTGATAGGTGTATTTAGCGGTTTTGATGTTGTTTTATGCATGTTTTAATACTTAATGAATCACATCGTGACAGGTTTTGATGTTTGTATCATGCACGCAAGTTTTGATACTTTTTCATGTCGCTTTAATACTTGTATGATGCACATTGTCACACCTGTATCATACAGGTTTTGGTGGTTGTATCATGCATGAAAGTTTTGATACTTTTTCATGTCGCTTTGATACTTGTACCTAACAGGTCTTGGGACGACAGATGCAAGCGGCCACGCCAACTTCTACCCCAACGGAGGGCACGACCAGCCGGGATGTGGACTGACATCATCTGTCATACAGGGTCTCACTAACAGTATGTAGACAATGTGGTCTTGTCCAGAGTATGTAGACAATGTGGTCTTATCCAGAGTATGTAGACAATGTGGTGGTCTGTGGTCTGGCCCAGAGTATGTAGACAGAATGTGGTCTTGTCCAGAGTATGTAGACAATGTGGTCTGGCCCAGAGTATGTAGACAATGTGGTCTTGGGCCAGAGAGTAGACAATGGTAGACAGTATGTAGACAATGTGGTCTTGTCCAGAGTATGTAGACAATGTGGTCTTGTCCAGAGTATGTAGACAATGTGGTCTTGTCCAGAGTATGTAGACAATGTGGTCTTGTCCAGAGTATGTAGACAATGTGGTCTGGCCCAGAGTATGTAGACAATGTGGTCTGGCCCAGAGTATGTAGACAATGTGGTCTGGCCCAGAGTATGTAGACAATGTGGTCTGGCCCAGAGTATGTAGACAATGTGGTCTGGCCCAGAGTATGTAGACTATGTGGTCTGACCCAGAGTATGTAGACAATGTGGTCTGACCCAGAGTATGTAGACATTGTGGTTTTATCCAGAGTATGTAGACAATGTGGCATTGTCCAGATTGTGTAGCAAATGTAGTTTTAATCCAGGGTATGTAGACAGAGTACGTTTGAACAAACGAACGAACAAAAAAATTTTATTTTTAGAGGGTTACAAATTGGGCACGTAGGGTGTGTCTTCGGCGACTTTATTTATAAAAACGGTGTGATTCTTGGAACATGGAAACGTTACATAAAACCTGCTCTTCGGCGACTTTAGCCATAACAACATCAGACAATTGTACTGCTGTTGCAAATAGGATCAGGCCACACACCGCTAAACGGACCATTGATGCGATTGCAGAATTTGGCTGGACACTTACTACCAAATCCTACTTACAGTCCCGATGTTTGCAACGTCGGACTTCCGTGTGTTTTGACATTACTTTGAGAACCCCAAGACGCTTAAAGGCGACATATGTCAGGGGATTAGATAAAAAGGACACATTTTTATTGCCGTACGAGAATACATGCCCTTGTAAAAATATGGACATAAACGGTAACCTATATCTGATATACAGAATACGTTTTTGAAGTTCGGATTTGGGGCCACACTTTAATGTAAATTTTATCTCTTTTCTTTTAAAATACAATTTAAAAGAATTACAGGCCATTACTTTAACTGTATCTCGTTTTCATTGCATCAGCTGTCTTGCTCATTATGGGCTGTAGCGCAAACAGAAAAGAGAATTTGAATTCCTATTTTATTTTTTCACATTAATATGTTTGAGGCGGAATGGCAAACATGTTCAGCTAACATACTTTTAGGGGGAGGTAAATGTGGCGGCAGGCTGTCGGTTAGCTATGTGGCGTACAATGATTGACAAAAGTGCTGTCTCACTTATTTACAGCTGGGTCATAAAAGTTTGCATTTTCCATTTTATACCCGCTGAATAAATCGGCCTAAGGAGCAGCTGGTCGAGCGGTTACGGTGTCGGTCTCCCGCGTGGGAGATCTGAGGTCGCGCCCCTCCCCCCCCCCCAACCCCTTAGTGAGGTGATGTAGATTTTCTGTCGCGGGCAAAATGAAACATCCTAAACTTGACAGACTCAGGGTCAGGTTCCCGCCCCTCTTCCTATGTCTATACTGCCCTAAAACAACCTCTTCTCCGAAACATTAGGCGTTGTGGGCATATAGGGCTAGATGTATATGTTGTAGACGAGTCGGCACTCGGTGGATGATGTAACATAACGTCCACCTTTACTTCCCAGGACTTCTCCTGGTGCCCATTTAAGGCTGGATCGAACTGAAAGCCAAGATCATTTCTAAAAAAAAAATCTGCCTCGTCAGGATCTGAACACACGACCTTAGGATCGGCAGACGAGCATCTATACCATGCCAGTTCCCATGCACTGTAAAAGGACCCCTTTTCGAACGTTCAAGCTTGCTAGGCATATAGGGCTAGACCAATATTTTTATAGACCAGTCAGTATTTGGGAAAAGGGGGGGGGGGTGTGATTCGGTTAGCACCACGCCGGTCGAAATATGGGGCAATAGTGCCAGTGTTTTGTCGACACTGTAAGTCGGCTCCTAGTTTTGCACATTTTTTAAGCGTGAAATTTCCATTGATACACTGCAGTTGAAGGTCTTCTAATGTAAGGCATCATACTCATTATAAAAAAGGGCACGTTTTCTACACCTTGAGGCGTATTAGGCATACAGGGCTGGACCTATGTTTTATAGACCAAAACACACTAAGTGGGCGATGTGGTTAGCATCACGGCGGCCGTCTTTACTTCCCAGGAGTGCACCTGGTACCCACGAGAGGCTGGGTCGACCTGGGAACCAAGGTCATTGTTGAACCCACGACCGTCCGATCCGCAAGCGAGTTTCACCACGGTGGCTCCGTATACTCATTTGAGGTAATGAAAATAACTGTTCTTCTTCTTCTTTTTCTGTGAGGTAATGAAAATAACTGTTCTTCTTCTTCTTTTTCTATTAAAACATTTACCTCAGCGATGTGATTTGGAAGGAAGGGTTGGGGAGAGGGGGGGGGGGAGATTTAAGGATCGTTTGTGGGATTTTTCCAGTGCCTTGTACAAGTTAGTGTTTATTTCTGTTAAGTTGCTCCTGATGATGTCGCTCCATATCTTGTGTGGTCTTTCTCTTGCTCTGTGTTCATTAAAAATCTTCAGCGTGGCTCTCTGTGGCATCTGGTACCAGGGCATTCTTGTCAGATGGCCAGTCCATCTCATTTGTTGTTCTTTAATGAATTGTATGACTGGTGTCATTCCTAGTATTCTTCTAATTTCTTCATCCCTGATTTGATCTCTTCTTGTCACACCTGCAGCTGTCCTAAGACATCTCATCTCTGTTGTTACGATTTTTCGCTTATTAGTTTTAGTAAGGGCCTATGTTTGGCACTGGTAGCCCAAAGTCGGCCAAAAACACTCTCTTATGAGATTTGCTTTGGTTGACAGAGGTATTTTTCTATTTGTCAGAAGCGGTATTAATTGCCCCATAACCCGATTTTCTTTAACATATCGAACGTTGATTTCTTTATTTATTCTTCAATCTGAGGTGAAAAATTCCCCTAGATGTTTAAATTCTTGATGCAGGTAACAAACAACGGAATCAGACTTGAACATGTGGCGGTGGAGTCCTAATACAAATTTTGAAGAAATGTCAAGGCGTCCATTTAAATCAACTGGTGTAATGGTCAACGGGTCACAAATACATTTTTGAATAGAAAAATTACTACTCAATTGGTGATGTCAAAAATATCACGCTGGTCGCCACAACTTTCCCTGACATTTTATTGTACTCGTTTTAAACTTGGTCGACCTAGTAGCAACAAGGATGAAAAATCAGATAAACAAAGTAATACACAGACAGGGGGGGGGGAGGAAAAACGGACGGACAGGCCGACAGACGGACATTTGGATGTATGGTTGGCTGGATGAATCGATCGACGTATTGATGAATGAATAGATTTATTAAAGGATGATTCTATAGATGTATTGATGAGCGGATAGATGAGTGGATGAATGGATGGGTCTATGGAATAATGAATAAATAGACGGTTGGATGGATGGATGGATGGGTTGATGGATAGATGAACGGATGAATGACTGAATGCACGCATTTATGTATGGCTCGATGAGATAATAGATAGAGTGATTGACGGATGAATGAGTTGATAGATGGATGTAGGATAGAGATGCAAATGGACAGTTTTAAAAAGATTCATGGCGGAGCCAATGTGGTGTAGTAGTTAAACACTGAGATAGATAGAAGGTTTTTGGTTCGTGTTCACAACGAGTGGGCCTTCTTGTTTCTATAATAGTCATTACTTCCATGGTCGATACAACCTCAAATAAAGTTAAAAAATAAAGTAGCATAAAGGACCCTTTTCCACTCCTCCAGGCATGCTGGGCACATAGGGCTAGACCTATATTTAGAGGAACTATCGGCACTTTTTAAATAATGTGGTTAACATCGAGCCAGCCGCCTTTACTTCCCTGGACTTTCCAGGGTAGCCAATTCGGGCTGTGTCAAACTGGAAGCCAAGGTCGTATTCGAAAAACGTCAGGTTCTGTCAGGGCCTGAACCCAAAAACAGGTGAGAGTTTAGCCGCTACAGCATGGCGGCTCCCAACAGTCTTAAATGGGTTCCAGATAAAGTCAAGGAAAGTAAAGGCGGCCGACATGAGGATAACCACATCAACAATCCTCTAGCATCATATGCTGGAGGAGTCACCGGCGTGAAAAGCTGTCCTGTATCACCAATCAAAGATATAATGTTCTGTGATCTTTTTCGTCTAGGTATTGATGAAACGATCACTTGCAGCCACATCAGAGCCCACCAGTTATATTCCGAGAGCATCAATTCTCCTTGTCCGTTCACTGCCTTCCGGTGTGCCAGTGAGGCAGACTTTAAGGTCAGTGATCACTTGAACGTTTCCACTACCACAAAATTCCACCTATGTACCAGCGCCTCAACATGGAAATTCATATTCTGGAACAATACCGAAGTTCAGAAGTGGAAAAAAAAAACCTTTCCACCATTTACAGCCGAAGAAAACCAAGAAGAAGAAGAAGAAGAAGAAGAAGAAGAAGAAGAAGAAAAAGAAGAAGAAGAAGAAGAAGAAGAAGAAGAAGAAGAAGAAGAAGAAGAAGAAGAAGAAGAAGAAGAAGAAGAAGAAGAAGAAGAAGAAGAAGAAGAAGAAGAAGAAGAAGAAGAAGAAGAAGAAGAAGAAGAAGAAGAAGAAGAAGAAGAAGAAGATGATGATGATGATGATGATGAAGGAGGAGGGGGACAAGGAGTAAGAGGGGACAACCAGGGGATTGTTTTCAGTGGACATTCTATCGAAGAAATAATGACTAGGGGAGCAGTAATCATCATACCAGAATTTATTCATGTAGATGAAATAATATCTCTGGGAGAAGTAAGTACTTTAAGAGAAGTAACCACTATAAGAGAAGTAACCACTATAAGAGAAGTAACCACTATAAGAGAAGTAACCACTATAAGAGAAGTAACCACTATAAGAGAAGTAACCACTATAAGAGAAGTAACCACTATAAGAGAAGTAACCACTATAAAAGAAGTAACCACTATAAGAGAAGTAACCACTATAAGAGAAGTAACCACTTAAAGAGAAGTAACCACTATAAGAGAAGTAACCACTATAAAAAAGTAACCACTATAAGAGAAGTAACCAATATAAGAGAAGTAACCACTTAAAGAGAAGTAACCACTATAAGAGAAGTAACCACTTTAAAAAAAAGTAACCACTATAAGAGAAGTAATCCTTTCTCACTTGGATTCCCTGTAACAGCTGCACTACATATGTTGACTGGGAGTGAAAGAGTTCTGTCGCATTTATTATTGATTCTTGACCAAATGTTTCTCCTCTATTGCTGATGTTTGACAAAGAAATAGACTGTTTATCATCATCATCATTAGTATCATCATTAGTATCATCATCATTAGTATCATCATCATTAGTATCATCAACATTATTATCATTTTCAGTATTATCATCATTATTATCATAATTAGTATCATCATCATCATTGTTATCATCATTAGCATCATCATCATTATTATCATTATTATCATCATTAGTATCATCATCATCATTAATATTATCATCATCATTATTATCATCATCTTTAGTATCATCATTATCATCATCTTTAGTATTATCATCATCATCAATATCATGATCGTCTTCATCCTCGTCGTTGTCGTCGACATTATCATCATTATCAGTGTTATCATCAGTAGCATCATCATCCTGATCTTGTATAGTGTTACATGACGTAGAGCTCCCAGTTTATCCTTCTATTCTATGAAATTGTTGACAATCCTCGGTGGAATTTAGTCATTCACCTTTGACCTCGATTAACATTGTCCGTTTTACGCTGTCTCATGGACGGACCCGTCTTCTCAAGCCATTTGTTTCGCATTTCAGAGCCTGCTTTGCAACTTTGTCCATTTCTTCACAGGAAGTGCCTAATTTAGCGATATCTTCCTTGTCCTATGACTTTTAACATCAATAGTTATCCAGACATCGTTGTTATCACATTTGTTGCATTGATCTTATTGAATGAGAGTAAATCTCCATAAGCATTTACGATCGTATACTTATATAACTGTTGTTCTATGTCTTTTGTTATTCTTCAACTTTCAGTCGCATGCTTAGGGTGACCACCGCATCCCCCTCCCCTTGCCCCCCTTTCCCAATACAATTTAAAAAAAAAATTGAAAAAAAAAAAACCAAAAACTCTGGGGGTGGGAGCTCAACCCATCTAAGAATTAATGGGACATGTCCTTGGCGGGCTGGAAGTGTCATGTTCAGGGGCCTAGAGAGTAGAAGCAAATTCTGACATGCATCACAAACATAAACGAATAAAAAAGCAAAGTCCCCTGTTCCACATCAGTATCGTCTCAGGCATAAAATGACAGATCCATGTTTTTGTAAAGATCCATTGGCTTCTGATGCTCGATCTGTGCACATAGATAAATATATTCTTACATTCCCGTGTCCCTGTTAGTTCCTCTTCTTTGCGTTCACCGGCTGTAGAACGCTGGTGGAAAGTTTCAGTTCTTCGTCCTTTCCTAGACTTTAGTCTTGTTCCAGAGCTTCAGTTTTTCTTGCACATCTGTTTTCAGCGAGGGCATTGCTTACTTTGTTGACAAAACTGATGATCTTTTTCTAGGCCAAACGGTGCCAGGGCTGCCAGAATGCGGACTGTTCGCGTATGGGATTCCACGCTGACAAATTCAAACCTCCCCCAGGACAGATCTTCTCCTACTTTCTGAGAACAGCAGACAAGCCACGTTTCTGTCGTAAGTATCGAATCATTTCAGATCTTTTATTGTTGTATTTTTTGTTGTAAGTCTCCAATCTTTTCAGCTCTTTGTGTGTGTGTGTGTGTGTGTGTGTGTGTGTGTGTACTTTCTGTAATAAGTCGCTCACCATTTCAGCTTATCTGTTGTTGTACTTTCTGTCGTGTCTCCATCTTTTCAGCTCATCTGCTGTTGTTGTACTTTCTGTCGTGTCTCCCATCTTTTCAGCTCTTCTGTTGTTGTACTTTCTGTCCTGTCTCCCATTTTTTCAGCTCTTCTGTTGTTGTACTTTCTGTCGTTTCTCCCATCTTTTTAACTCTTCTGTTGTTGTACTTTCTGTCGTGTCTCCCATCATTTCAGCTCATCTGTTATACTTTCTGTCGTGTCTCCCATCTTTTCAGCTCTTCTGATAACGCTAAAAAAAAAAAAAACATTCGGTTAACAGGAGTAAACTGTTCGTCCAGCAGGATTGTCCTATTATTGTTATTCCTCAGGTAAGCATGTAGTTTTAACACGAACACTATTTTTGGTTTGTAATTCGTGTTACTGAGGTATCACTGTATTTATTTTTTCTTGTAATTGTTTTTTTGCGGGCTAATTTTCTGGACTTGCGATTACTACCTTTGTTTCTTGCAGCTCTATAAACTTCTCGTTGGTCCCCCGTCTTTTTTTTTTTTTTTTTTAGTGTCTTCCTGATGCCCGTTTTTTTTCTCTGCACTCCCTCTTCCTCCCGTTTTCTGCCTCAGTAATTCTGTATTCCTAACGCTGTTTCCGTTTGTCCAATTTTCTGGCTCTGTTTCGGTCTTTATTTCTAGCTCTATGTACAACACCCCCCCCCCCTTTCCTCCCCCCATCCCTATTATCTGTCTCTCCCTTTCTCACTCTTGTCATCGATTTCCTGTTTCTCTCTCGTCTCCTTTTCTTTCTTTTTTCCCTCTTCCTTTCTCTCTGCCAGTTTCTCTGTCTTCTATCTATCACTCATTGTTTCTTTCTATCTCTTCCTCTGTCCGTCAGTCCATGTCTTTTTCTGTCTCTGACTTCCTCTCTTTTTCTGTCACTCCATTTCTCTTTCTCTCTGCTTCTATCTGTGACTCCCTGTCTCATTTCTTTTTCTCTCTCTCTCACCTTTTCTTTTACAGTCCTTGTCACCTTGTCACAGCACATACCATTAAGATTAGCACGGCACACACAATTAAGATTAGCACGGCACACACCATTAGGATTAGCACGGCACACAACCCTAAGATTAGCACAGCACACAACACCAAGATTAGTACAGAACACAACACTAAGATTAACACAGCACACACCACTAAGATTAGCACAGCACACACCACCAAGATTAGCACAGCACACACCACCAAGATTAGCACAGCACACACCACCAAGATTAGCACAGCACACACCACTAAGATTAGCACAGAACACACCACCAAGATTAGCACAGCACACACCACTAAGATTAGCACAGCACACACCACTAAGATTAGCACAGCACACACCACTAAGATTAGCACAGAACACAATATTAAGATTAATTAACACAGCGCATACACCAAGATTAGCACGGCACACACCACCAAGATAGCACGGAACACACCACTAAGATTTGCACAGAACACACCACTAAGATTAGCACAGCACACACCAACAAGTTTAGCACAGCACACACCACCAAGATTAGCACGAAACACACCATTAGGATTAGCACAGCACACACCACCAAGATTAGCACGGCACACACCACCAGGATTAGCACGGAACACACCACCAAGATTAGCACAGAAGACACCACCAAGATTAGCACGGAACACACCACTAAGATTAGCACAGCACACACCACCAAGATTAGCACATCACACACCAGCAAGATTAGCACGGAACACACCACCAAGATTAGCACAGAAGACACCACCAAGATTAGCACACCACCAAGTTTAGCACGGCACACACCACCAAGATTAGCACAGCACACACGATTAAAATTAGCACTGCACACACAACCAAGATTAGCACAGCACACACCACCAAGATTCGCACAGCACACACCACTAAGATTAGCACGGAACACACCACCAAGATTAGCACGGCAGACACCACTAAGATTTGCACAGAACACACCACCAAGATTAGCACAGAACACACTCCCAAGATTAGCACAGAACACACCTCAAAGATTTGCACAGCACACACCACCAAGATTAGCACGGAACACACCACTAAGATTTGCACAGAACACACCACTAAGATTAGCACAGCACACACCAACAAGTTTAGCACAGCACACACCACCAAGATTAGCACGGAACACACCATTAGGATTAGCACAGCACACACCACCAAGATTAGCACGGCACACACCACTAAGATTAGCACAGAACACACCACTAAGATTAGCACAGAACACACCAGTAAGATTAGCACAGAACACACCACTAAGATTAACACGGAACACACCACCAAGATTAGCACAGCACACACCATTAAGATTAGAACATAACACACCACCAAGATTAGCACAGCACACACCACTAAGATTAGCTCGGCACACACCACCAAGATTAGCACAGCACACACCACCAAAATTAGCGCGGCACACACCACCAAGATTAGCACGACACACACCACCAAGATTAGCACCGCACACACCACCAAGATTAGCACAGCACACAACACCAAAATTAGCACGGCACACACCACCAAGATTAGCACAGCACACACCACTAAGATTATCACAGCACACACCACTAAGATTAGCACGGAACACACCACCAAGATTAGCACAGAACACACCATTAGGATTAGCACAGAACACACCACTAAGATTAGCACAGAACACACCACCAAGATTAGCACATAACACACCACCAAGATTAGCACAGAACACACCACTAAGATTAGCACAGCACACACCACCAAGATTAGCACAGCACACACCACTAAGATTAGCACAGCACACACCACTAAGATTAGCACAGAACACACCATTAGGATTAGCACAGAACACACCACTAAGATTAGCACAGAACACACCACCAAGATTAGCACAGCACACACCACCAAGATTAGCACAGAACACACCACTAAGATTAGCACAGCACACACCACCAAGATTAGCACAGCACACACCACTAAGATTAGCACAGCACACACCACTAAGATTAGCACAGCACACACCACTAAGACACAGCACACACCACTAAGACACAGCACACACCACTAAGACTAGCACAGCACACACCACTAAGACACAGCACACACCACTAAGACTAGCACAGCACACACCACTAAGACACAGCACACACCACTAAGACACAGCACACACCACTAAGACACAGCACACACCACTAAGACACAGCACACACCACTAAGACACAGCACACACCACTAAGACACAGCACACACCACTAAGACACAGCACACACCACTAAGACACAGCACACACCACTAAGACACAGCACACACCACTAAGATTAGCACAGAACACACCACTAAGACACAGCACACACCACTAAGACACAGCACACACCACTAAGACTAGCACACACCACTAAGACTGTACAATCTGTGTATAAAAGAATAACATTTGTGTCTGTTTTCAGTTGCCAATCCTGCTGCAGACAGTGGCTTCTTGAGTGGCTTGTTGAACATTCTTCTGTAGTCGTGGCAACTCCTGGTTGCAGTCGCCTTTGACCCCGATTTATTTATCAAGCTGACGAAATATAGCACACGACTGCTAATAATATTTACAAATCTAAATTGACTAATCTGTTATTAAATTACCTCTCATCCCAGCATTCTGAGTGTTTCATTTTCTTGAAAAAAAAAGATTTTAGTGTAAGTGAGGATTAACAAGTTGAATCTCCTCGAAGTTAAGTCATCCGACCGACAACAGTTCGATGTCATCCGACCGACAACAGTTCGATGTCATCCGACCGACAACAGTCCGATGTCATCCGACTGACAACAGTTCGAAGTCATCCGACCGACAACAGTTCGAAGTCATCCGACTGACAACAGTTCGAAGTCATCCGACCGACAACAGTCCGATGTCATCCGACTGACAACAGTTTGAAATCATCCGACCGACAACAGTTTGAAGTCATCCGACCGACAACAGTTCGAAGTCATCCGACCGACAACAGTTTGAAGTCATCCGACCGACAACAGTTCGAAGTCATCCGACCGACAACAGTTCGAAGTCATCCGACCGACAACAGTTCGAAGTCATCCGACCGACAACAGTTCGAAGTCATCCGACCGACAACAGTTCGAAGTCATCCGACCGATAACAGTTCGAAGTCATCCGACCGACAACAGTTCGAAGTCATCCGACCGACAACAGTTCGAAGTCATCCGACCGACAACAGTTCGAAGTCATCCGACCGACAACAGTTCGTAGTCATGCGACGGACAACAATTCTAAGTCATCCGACCGACAACAGTTTTAAGTCATCTAGTTGTTCGTCTACTTCTGTACTTTAGACGTATGGCAAAACTTGAGTTTATATGGCTTATTTGTGATCAGATTGTTGGCTCCTCGTCTCTCAATCAGACGAACTCTGACTTATAATTGAAACATTCCAAATGGGTTTTTTGTAATATCCTACCCCCAGATGACGTCACAGGACAGTCCAACATTTTAGAGGATGGTAAGACTGGGTTTTCTGACTTTCTTGTGCTTTTAACAACCCCACAACATCTAGAACTGGCCCTAACCCCAACCCATCTATGCCCCACGAGAGGGCAGCCTAGGTCCCACGACATCTTCAGCCGAGGTCCCAAGACTGCATGCAGCCTATCTACCACCCCCTGAAAGATTAGACTGTCCCGTGACCTGTGGATTTCCCCTGTTTCCAAATTAGTCGCCTCCTATGATGTGCTTGTTCGTGGTGCAGTGGGTAAATTATCCAAACCCAGAATGGGCGAGGGAACTCACACAGGGAATGTCTGTAATGTGCAACTGCGTTGACATTCACCAAGCCCCAACACTTGAACTATAAAAGTCAGTTTCAAAACCTTGTGAAAGCTTCGGTAAACAGCCCTAGCATTTATTTACTACAGATTGCAACCGCCCCTGCACGGCTCGACGCTTATACCGCACTTATCTGCTACCACATAAACAAACGCTGACATCGAACTCTGGTATGTTGGGATTGTTAAAGTGCGTTTACTGCACGTAAATGGCTGACGTCGACTCGATGCGTGCTGCAGGGCATGTGCCAAGAACACAGACCTGCCCCCTGAATGGTGTTAGGTTATAAGATGGCGAACAATAAATACCTACATTTGTCGTCAAGGCTAATGATACTGATGTTGACAATAGGTAAATAAACGTTTTGCCGCATGCTGAGATATGTTCAATATTCCTTGATACCCTCAAAGCTCGTAGACGTGTCTGCTCTCTGCGGATGGTGTTGTGGCCAATATCAAAAGAACATAAACTCGTTGGAGCGTGTTTCTGTTCGCTGACATTTTCCATGGTATGTTCACGGTAGGTTTTTCTTCTGCTGGGCGAGTGTTCAGCCTGAATATTGTCGTAAGTCACTCTGATCTGGGCTTGTCAAAAAGTAACTCTGGCTTGCTCAACTTCCCTATCTCCTGCAGGGTATTCCTGACACATGGGCCCTGGGACTTTGGGGCTTCAGCTCACCTTTTAGTGGTAGGTGGGGGGGGGGGGGGGGGTGAACAGGTGGGGAAAGGGGGGGGGGAGAATAATCATCATCCTTTAACCATTTAAAGAAATTCTCTGTAACTGTGTTTGTTTATAGTTCTCGTAAAATTGTCCAGTCTACTTTCTGTTTTCTACTTTTGTTTGCCTTTCAGCCTTAAAAAGAGGAATAAAAAAAATTAATAACATAATGTCTTGAATGCTCAACAATTATAATAATGTACTTCAAACATAATCGCCTCAACCTGAGAGCTCTGTCACCTTTTTCCCTAGTCATAATAATACTGAATAATGAAGGCATCCTAGTGATGCTGACGTCATTTGAAGTCAGGGTGTGTTGTTTTAGTCAGTTTTAACATACAGTTGTGAAGCCTGGACAATTAGTAAACAAGCCGAACAGTATCTTGAGGCCTGGGAGATGTGGTTTTACTGAAGAATCCTTAGAATTCCATGGACAGCTAAGAAAAGCAACCAAGATGTTTTGAAAGAGGTGAGTGCTCGGGAGAAAAAAAAAACTTATCACAAACATTAAAAAAGACTGCCATACTTTTTTGGTCATGTTATGAGAAGAGGGATAATTTAATATGTTGTGACAACCGGAAACAAATTGTCGAAAGAGAGAGAGGAGAAGACATCGCGATAAGTTTTTTTGATTTGTCATAGCATGGAGGCGTGTCAACATATGAACTGATACACGCAGCTGCGGATTGCAGATTGTTGGGAGGCATGATCGCCCACGCCAGTCGGCAAAGCCCTGATGACGATGTGCTGTTTTGCAGAATCCAACAGCGCATCTCCGTCGGAACTTTAACTGGGACCTCGACCTGAGTAGGCTGTCTCAGTAATGGTCAATTGACTACGCAATAGCTGGCAATAATAAGAGTAATTTGGCAAGTTACAGGAAAGTTGTTCTCCTTTATGAGGGTGAGTTGATTCAAGGACCAACATCACAACACTCGGAGCATTCCCATCAGCACTCTGTTCCCATCTTCAACAGCCAGCGCCGAGTTCCAGTACCATCCAGCTGGTAGTGTCCATCTTGCTTTTCCTCAGAGTGTCGAGTATCGACCAGAACCCCTCGTCCCTCCTCGCTACATCACTCTCACCAGATTGTGGTGGTCCATTTGCTCCTCCAAATTGTACACGTTCTCCCAAAAGGCCCTAACTATGTCTGCCTTTTCATTCATCACAAGTCCACAAAGATGTGCAGAGCTAGCCAGTCTGTCCACTCGTTCATTTCTCAACTCACTGGCATAACCCGGAGAAAACATCCGGACAATGCTCCCCACCCGTGACCTCTGAAGCGAAGCTCGCCACTCTGCATGAAGCATGCCTTTGCTCACTTTCCTCAGCATACTTTCTCAGTTAGTTACAACAGCTTTCATTCTTTTAATTTCAACAGTAACAACGTCATGCTGTTTGGAGAGTTTGTTTACAATCATCATTATCATCATACTGCGGCAGGTATACGTCACCAAGGGCTCGCAGTCTCTCCGTGACATCCTGTGCAAACGGATTTAACCATGTGTCATCTCATTCAGCTTTTCTTTATGCCATCTTATTTCATTTGTATCCCCTTTTGAAATCTCCCCTCTGTGCATGTTAAAACTATTTAGGTAATGTGAGCTCAAGAAAATGTAAATTTTAGTTTTCCTGTTCCTTATATAGCGTCTTTCCCCCACCTCTCGATTCCCTGAAATATGTTAAGTTCCATTCCTAAAATTTGCAGTGGTTTAACAGCACTGGAGTAAATATTATACAGTTCGCTCTTAGTGAAACCAGATGATAAAAACTTACTCAGAAAGTAGGTAAAAAAAAATAAGGAACATGCTTCCTTCCTTATCAGTTATGATCTTTCTTGAAGTTAAGCAGTTGTCAAGGACGCAAAGAACTTTTTTCCCAGTCTGAAACTTCTTATCAACGTAAGACATTTTAACATTATTAGCTCATTAATTTGTAGTCCTTCAAAAAAATTGCGCAGCTTTATAAAGAGCTTGCCGCGCAGTTTGCTAGCCAGTGGTCAGCGGCCGTTGTCTTGGCCCTGGAAACTTGTTTGTTTCTTGAACTTGCTGGAATTTTTCTCATTGCGATAATGAAGTTCTGTTTGTTGGTGGTGCTTGTGGTGGGAGTGGCGGAGATGAAATCCCTGGACAAGGACTCGGAGAAAGCTTCTGTTAAACGTAGGTATACCACACTAGAAATAAGTGTCTGTTTCTGTCTTCTCCAAGGGGAACTGTCTTAGACAGGCGTCGGTGATCAAGACTCCTTGATTCTCTTTGTCACTTGGTAATTTGATAAAGGTAGCTAAAACGTAACAGTGCATTTCTGTGTGTCTCTTGTTCTGCTTCCACTCATGTCTTTCTTGGTTGGTCCCTTGACTGTTTCTGTTGAGGTATTGTTTAAAATGTGTATCTACATCTTCGTCTGCTTTTCCTTTATGCAAAATGTACTGGGGTGTAAAGCTAAAGGCATGTCGAGCAAGGAGGTAGACAGCTATACAAGTGTGATGTTAGCATTAGGAGATGAATCAATAGAGTGTGAGAGTCCAAGCCTAAAAACATCCTGGAGATTTTCTCCCTGTTCACCTGCTGCAGACTCCGGTGGAAAAGCCTGGTTATGGAATGTGTTATTGTTCCATAATTTTAGTGTTGCGTGCACACTCGTTTTACCGATATGACTTTTTTATGTGCAGAATATTATTAATTATAATTAAATAAAAGGTGTGTATAATATGTATGTATGCGTGTATGTGTGGCATGTGCACGTGTGGTATGTATGTGTGTGTTTGTGTATGTATGAGTGTGTGTATCAGTAATTGTATAAGTTGTTTTGCTTGTGTGTGTGTGTGTCTGTGTGTCCACGTGTTGCGTGTGACTGGTGTGTGTGTGTGTCTGTGGGTCTGTGTGTGAATGTGTCTCTACGTGTATGTGATTGTTTGTGCCTACGTGTGATGTGTCTTTGTGTGTATGTGTGTTGTGTGTTTGTGTGTGTGTGCTCGCGCCGCCGCCTTGTTGTGTTTATGTGTGTGTGTCTGTACGTGTCTTTGTGTGTATGTGTGTCTGCGGGCGAGTGTGACTGCGTGAGTGTCTATGTCTACGTTTGTCTGTGTGTGTATCTGTGAATGTCCCTGTGTGTGTGTGTGTATATTTCTCTGTGTCTTTGTGTGTGTGTGTGTGTGTCTATCGTGTGTCTGCATGTGAGTCTGCGTGTATGTGTGTCTGTGTGTGTCTGCGGGTATCTGTGTGTATGTGTCTGTGTGTACGTATGTGTGTGTACGTATCTGCGTGAGTATTAGAATATGTTTGAGTCTGCCATTGTGTGTGTGTGTTTGTGTTTGTGTGTCTGAGTGTATGTCTAGTATGTACGTCGGCATGTGCGCCTGTTGAGTATGTGTGTCTGCGGGTTTGTGTGTCTGCTTGTCTGCGTGTCTGTGTCTTTGTCTATGTGTGTTTGTATCTCTGCGCGCGTGTTTGTATGTGTATGTTTGTGTGTGTGTCTGCATGTGTTTCTGTGGGTGTGTATGTGTGTGCAGGCTTGCATCTTTATGTATGTATGTATGTATGTATGTGTGTAGAATATATATGTATGTATGTATATATGTGGGTGTGTGTGTGAATGTATGTGTGTGCTTGTGTGTATCTATGTGTGTATGTGTGTGAAATATGTATGTATGAATATATATTATTATTTCTTGTGTGCACTTCGACAATAAAAAGGGGACTCAGTCTGCTATGGTGACCTGGGATGCTTCAGTAACGAGCCTCCATTTGTTAGCGAGCAGGAACCAGTCGCTGTTCTGCCTCAGTCTCCCGACACGAGTGATTGTTTCCGTTTTCCCGTTACAGTGAGTGTTTCTGGTTTTTTCCCCTAACATTGGATGTTTCTGTTTCACTGTAGCAATGGTTGTTCTGTTTTCCTGTTATAAGTGACTGTTTCTGTTTTACCATAACATTGATTGTTTTTTTTTTCCTGTTACGTTTATTGTTTCTGTTTTACCATAATAGTGTCTGTTTCTGTTTTACCGCAACAGTAGTTGTTCTGTTTTGCCATAATATTGGTTGTATCTGTTTTCCCGTTACGGTTTTTCGTGTGTGTGTAGTCGTCTTGCAATAATTTTTTCTGTCTTCTAGCTATTATTATAATAATTTTGCAGTTAAACTGATTATTTCTGTTTTATTTGTTACAGTAATTATTAATGTGTTTTTTTTTTTAAATCTATATTACACTCATCATATATGGTTTATTGTAACAGTGTATCTCTGTAAAACTGTCCTATTCTGTGTATCACATAGGTAAAAAGTCTAACAGGACAGGCCAATACTACATTTCATAAAATAAAGAACCTTTAATGCAATTAAATTTGTATCATTGGAGTTTGGGAAAATAATTTTATATAGGGCTAATTTTGACACTTATCTGTGAATCCTGGATAATTGATAAGCAAGCCAAACAATTTCTTGAGGCCTCAAGGTTTTACAGAAGAATCCTTCGAATTCTTTGGACAGCCAAGAAGAGCAACCCAGAGGTTCTGAAAGAGCTGAGTCCTTGGAGACAACTTATCACAAACATCAGAAAGAAACATCGTCCTTTTTGGTCCTCTTATGAGAAGAAGAAAAATGGAACATGTTTCGACAAGTAGAAAGATCTACGGAAAGAGAGAGAGAGAGAGAGAGAGAGAGAGAGAGAGAGAGAGAGAGAGAGAGAGAGAGAGAGAGAGAGAGAGAAAGACAGAGGAAGATAACCCGAGAAGCTTTAGACATACTTTTGTTATGGCATGGATTGGTGTCAACACTCGAACTGATACACCCAGTTCCAGACGACAAATTATGGAGAGGCATAATCGTCAACGCCATTCGGCAAGGCACTTGATGACGATGATGTCATTTTACTGATTATTTATGTTTTGTTATCAAAGTGATGATCTCTCTTTCTACATTATATGATTTTTGTTTTCTGTTTGAACATTACAGTCATTATTTTTGTTTTTGCCACATTGATCTAGTTATTCTTCTAATTACAGTTCGTGTCAGCACTGTGTTTGCATCTGTTTTATTAGTGTCTTTTGTTGTGGTTGTTCTGTTCCGTCCTCTCCCCTGGAATATGTTCCCAGCCCCCCCCCCCCCCCACCCTTCTCCCCCCCCCCCCTCCCTCAGCCACCACTATGTACTGTACTAAAGTTAACTTTTAAAGAGTGTTTTCATGCATTTCATATTATTTGAAATATATTATTTTTGACATTCAACACATTATTGTATTTATTACTATTACTGCGTTCTTAAACAACAAAAAAGCCTCTGAATTCTCTCCCCCGCCCCTCCCCCCTACTATATCCCATATCTCATCCCTAGCATCTCATTGTTTTGTGCTGTGTCGGTGGCCCTCGTTAAGAAGACAGCTTAAACTTTCCCCCGTGAATGTAACTGTCTGACGTTTTCCAGAACGAGGTATTTGCTCTACACACGAGAGTCGAGGACTGTTGCTCAAGCCCTGGACGCCAGGCACCCGGAAACTGTCACCTCCGTCTGGACCAGGTTTCAGGAAAGACCAACAAAAATCTTAATCCACGGCTTCCTGGACAGTGTTGCTCTCACTTCTATGTGGCTGGTAAGAAGTAGTTCCCAGAGTAGTGCTTCTACTCTCGAACTTTTTTCCTCCGTCACATATGCCAGGAGAACAGCATAACTAGAATGTCTTTGCATTAGAACCCACAGGGGCATAGGAATAAAGGAAGGCCAAAAAACACACGGAGAAGAGAGCTGGAGAATGAGGTTAGAAAGATTGGGAGGACATGGGGAGAGCTCCATGTAATAGCGAAGGATAGAACGACTTGGCGTGAGTTGGTTGAGGGCCTATGCTCCATTGGGGGATAAAAAGGCAGAAGAAGAAGAAGAAGAAGAAGAAGAAGACATATGCTTAAATACCTAAACCTAAGTCTCTCTTCCCTGGACAACCAAAGAGCAACACAGATATTGTGACTTAGGCCAGGGTTGTAAGACAATTTATGAAAAACATCTGAAGGAGACAGTCATACTGTCTTGTTTATGTTATGAGAAGAAGGAAAACGAAAGATGTGACCACTGGAAAAATCTTTTGGGAAAGACACGGAAAAGGACACCGCAAGAGCAACTTCTGTCATGGCATGGAGGGAAGTTATCACACCAACTGATACATGCTGTTGAAGATTGCAGACTAAGGAGAGATATGATCGTCCACGCTAGGCGGCAAGAGCTTTGATGATGATAATGATGATGATGATGATGATGATGATGATGCTAATGATATTGATGATGATAATGATGATGATAATGATGATGATAATGAGCCTTCTTTGCAAATATTGTAAGCAGTTTGTCTCGATTTGAAAGACGTTGGTTCGATTCAATGACTCTCTCGTTCTGTTCACAACTCCAGTTTTTTGAGAGATCCCAGGCAATCGTTGCTTCAGGTACGAAATGTCTGCTTTCTGCGAGCACTCGGAGGGCAGTTATGCTGTATGATTTGAGTATCGAGTAAAACTGGCTCATAAACAGCATTCTGCCTCGACAGTTTAGGCACTCTGACTATGTTAAACGTCAGGACGGTCTAGAGAAGCCGGTGGTGAAAGTATAATTTCTTTTTTTAAAACGACACAGTCACACACATACACACACACACACACAGCCACACATTAGTTGTAGAAGTAGCAGCATCAGGAATAATTAACGGCAGTTTACTGGTGGTGGTTGTGGTTGTAGTAGCAGCAGTAGTAGTAGTAGCAGCATTAAAAGTTGCAGTAGAATTAGCAGCAATAGTACCAGTAGTAATAGTAATTGATGTATTTGTAGTAGTAGTAGTAGTAGTACCAATAGTAGCAGTACTACTAGTAGGCAGTATATGTAGCAGAAGCAACAGCAGTAAATGGAGTGGTAGAGTAGTGTTATTAGTAACACTACTAGTAGTGCAGCAGCAGCAGCAACAGTAGTAGTAGTACTGGTGGTAGCAGTAGTAGTAGACGTAGTAGTAGTAGTATTTGTAGTAGTAGTAGTAGTACCAATAGTAGCAGTACTACTAGTAGGCAGTAGCATTAGCAGCAGCAGTAAATGGAGTGGTAGAGTAGTGTTAGTAGTAATACTACTAGTAGTGCAGCAGCAACAGTAGTAGTAGCAGTACTGGAGACAGCAGTGGTATTAGCAGCACTACTAGTAGACAGTAGCATTAGCAGCCGCAATAGCAGTAAATGGAGTGTAGTGTTATTAATAATACTACTAGTAGTGCAGCAGCAGCAGCAAGTAGTAGTAGTAGTAGTAGTAGTAGTAGTAGTAGTAGTAGTAGTAGTAGTAGTAGTAGTAGTAGTAGTAGTAGTAGTAGTATTGGTGGTAGCAGTAAAAGGAAGCAGCGCAAGAGTCGTACCATCGTCAGCTCTCTGTCAAAAGCAGCACTATGACCTGATTATCACAATGTTTTTTACCAACAGGACATGAAGGACGAGCTCCTATTCCACGACGACTACAACGTGGTGATCGTAGACTGGTCTAAAGGAAACGAGTTACCCTACGACCAAGCCTGCGCTAATGCCCGAGTAGTGGGAGCACAAATCGCTGCCTTGATCAAATCTCTTATCGTGAGTTCTCCGTTTGTTGTCTACTGTCGAAAAATAGCCTGTTCGTTGTCTACTCTTTAAATGTAGCCTGTTTGTTGTCTACTCTTTATATGTAGCTTGTTTGTTTTCTACTCTTCAAATGTAGCCTGTTTGTTGTCTATTCTCCAAATGTAGCCTGTTTGTTGTCTGCTCTTCAAATGTAGCCTGTTGTCTTCACTCCAAATGTAGCCTGTTTGTTGACTATTCTCCAAATGTAGCCTGTTTGTTGTCTACTCTCCAAATGTAGCCTGTTGTCTTCACTCCAAATGTAGCCTGTTTGTTGTCTACTCTACAAATGTAGCCTGTTTGTTGTCTACTCTACAAATGTAGCCTGTTTGTTGTCTACTCTACAAATGTAGCCTGTTTGTTGTCTTCTCTACAAATGTAGCCTGTTTGTTGTCTACTCTACAAATGTAGCCTGTTTGTTGTCTACTCTACAAATGTAGCCTGTTTGTTGTCTACTCTACAAATGTAGCCTGTTTGTTGTCTACTCTACAAATGTAGCCTGTTTGTTGTCTACTCTACAAATGTAGCCTGTTTGTTGTCTATTCTCCAAATGTAGCCTGTTTGTTGTCTACTCTACAAATGTAGCCTGTTTGTTGTCTACTCTACAAATGTAGCCTGTTTGTTGTCTACTCTACAAATGTAGCCTGTTTGTTGTCTACTCTACAAATGTAGCCTGTTTGTTGTCTACTCTACAAATGTAGCCTGTTTGTTGTCTACTCTACAAATGTAGCCTGTTTGTTGTCTATTCTCCAAATGTAGCCTGTTTGTTGTCTACTCTACAAATGTAGCCTGTTTGTTGTCTACTTTACAAATGAAGGTTATTTGTTGTCTACTCTCCAAATGTAGTCTGTTTGTTGTCTACTCTACAAATGTAGCCTGTTTGTTGTCCGCTCTCCAAATGTAGCCTGTTTGTTGTGTTCTATCCAAATGTAGCCTGTTTATTGTGTTCTCTCCAAATGTAGCCTGTTTGTTGTCTACTCTACAAATGTAGCCTGTTTGTTGTCTACTCTACAAATGTAGCCTGTTTGTTGTGTTCTATCCAAATGTAGCCTGTTTATTGTGTTCTCTCCAAATGTAGCCTGTTTGTTGTCTACTCTCCAAATGTAGCCTGTTTGTTGTCTACTCTACAAATGTAGCCTGTTTGTTGTCGTGCTGAAAGGTTCGCAGAGCTTGCTCAGGAAGGTGGGATTGGGTTTCCTTTTTATAGAAGGGTCGCATCATTTCCAGGGTCGTATGTGGTGACAGCCACATGAATCGTTTGTCCAGGCTCTGCAGGCACGTTTGGAAACAAGCAGGTAGATGGGCTGGCTGGACTGGACTGTCCTACTGGTAAAAAAAAAAAAGGTGGAGGTGGGGGTGAAGGGTGCGGGTACTACAACTGCTCCAAGCAGAGGGAATCTCTCGTCTACTGGAACAAATAAGTGAAATGGAAGAAACTGAACACCCAAACCTGGAGAGAACGATGCAGCCTAGAGTGTCTACGGCTCTACTTGCTCTGGGCCACTCCAGACACAGAGGGAAAGACAGGACGAGTAGTTAGCCAGATGACAACGGGCGATATCAGAATGGGGACTTTCCGCTGGCTTTGAGGAGGAAGGTGGACATAATACAAGCTTGTCCTGAGTGCTGTCACAATGACTCTGTATCGGGTTGTTATCTCCTTTCGAAATGTTATCTCTGGGTAAAACATCCATCTTTGGCATGCTACTACCTCTTCTTGTCTTTTCTGTCCATTGGTTACCCCCAAGGTCACACGAATTCGTGAACAACGCGTCGCTATTTTGTGTTATCTCTTTGGATTGTCTTTTGTTCGCAAGGATCGGCTTATAGATGTATCTAGATTATTAGCAATTTTTTTCCTGCCATGTTAAGCGTTTTGCAGCAAGACTTCAATGTGAACTGTTCGATTTATTCAATGTCATGTAAAACATGTTGACATAGTGTGTCTAGTCAGCAGAACTAGAACATGCGGAAATGTCACATCTGTTCGAATAAAACGTGCCATCTTATCAGTTTTCCTACCTTGGCCTAGTTACATCGTGGTTCAACTTACACAATACTTTATGTTTGCATCGTATTGTTTCGTTACACAGACAAGAACAGAAAGAAGTTACAGTTTTATACAAACTGTTCAAAGACTAGTAACAATCAGACCTTATTATCTACTGTGTCCTCTTCTCTTCTCTCCCCCCCCCCTCCCTTATCTTAATTGTCACCCGCTCTTTTCTTCTTCTTTTTCTTCCTCTTCTTCTTCTTCTTCTTCTTCTTCTTCTTCTTCTTCTTCTTCTTCTTCTTCTTCTTCTTCTTCTTCTTCTTCTTCTTCTTCTTCTTCTTCTTCTTCTTCTTCTTCTTCTTCTTCTTCTTTTGCTGCTGCTTCTTCTTTTTTTTTCTGCTTATAATTCGCAATGTCTGTCTGTCTTTCCGCGCCTGTCTCATGCCCTCTATCTATCCCTCCATTCTCTCTCTTTTTATTTTCTATTTGTATACCTCCCCAACTCCATTCTGTCTATCTCCTGATTCTTTCCCCTTATCTGTAGCCAATAAGTCTTTCAAGTTGTTAAGTACAGTTTTTTAATGCGTGTGTTTGTATGTGCATTTGTGTTCACCCCTATGCTTCCAACAGAAGGGAACGGGTGTGTCGGCGGCAAGTTTCCACATCATTGGTCACAGCCTGGGAGCCCACGTGTCTGGGTATGCTGGCGAGCTGGTCCCAGGGGTGGGCCGAATTACGGGTGAGTGGTCACTGGTTGTAGACAGGTATGCGCCCACTGTCGTTTACAAATATGTGTTCCAGCTTTGTACACACGTGACAGCTTATTAGTTGCTGCGGCTTTTACCACTACTACAAATATTATTACTACTGCAGCTGCTGCTGCTGCTGCTACTATTACTACTACTACTACTACTACTACTACTACTACTACTACTACTACTACTACTACTACTACTACTACTACTACTACTACTACTACTACTACTACTACTACTACTACTACTACTACTACTACTGCTGCTGCTGCTACTACTGCTGCTACTACTACTACTACTACTACTACTACTACTACTGCTGCTGCTACTACTGCTGCTACTTCTGCTGCTGCTGCTGCTGCTGCTGCTGCAACTACTACTACTACTACTACTTCTACTACTACTACTACTACTACTACTAGTACTACTACTGCTGCTGCTTCTACATAAACAACAACAACAACTACTACTACTACTACTACTACTACTACTACTACTACTACTACTACTACTACTACTACTACTACTAGTACTACTACTGCTGCTGCTGCTACATAAACAACAACAACAACTACTACTACTACTACTACTACTACTACTACTACTACTACTACTACTACTGCTGCTGCTACTACTGCTGCTACTACTACTACTACTACTACTACTACTACTACTACTACTACTACTACTGCTGCTGCTACTACTACTGCTACTACTTCTGCTGCTGCTGCTGCTGCTGCTGCTGCTGCTGCTACTACTACTATTACTACTACTACTACTACTACTACTACTACTACTACTACTACTACTACTACTACTACTACTACTACTACTTCTACTACTACTACTACTACTACTACTAGTACTACTACTGCTGCTGCTGCTACATAAACAACAACAACTACTACTACTACTACTACTACTACTACTACTACTACTACTACTACTACTACTACTACTACTACTACTACTAGTACTACTACTACTGCTGCTGCTACTTAAACAACAACAACAACTACTACTACTACTACAATTACTACTACTACTACTACTAGTACTACTACTACTGCTGCTGCTACTTAAACAACAACAACAACAACTACTACTACTACTACTACTAGTACTACTACTACAACTACCACCACCACCACCACCACCACTACTACTACTACTACTACAACTACTACTACTACTACTACTACTACTACTACTACTACTACTACTACTGCTGCTGCTGCTGCTGCTACATAAACAATTACTACTACTATCACCACCACCACAAGCACCACCACCGCCACTGCTACTATTACTACTAATACTAGTAAAACAACAATAACAACCACTATTCTACTACTGTTACAATGTATAATTATTCTTCTTCTTCCCCTCTTTTTTTGTTTTTTTTTTTGTTACTGCTAATACTAATTTTACTTCTGCTGCTGTTGTAGTTACCACTACTACTACTACCACCACTACTACTACCACCACTACTACTATCACTACTACTACAAAATCGCATATCTTCTGCTTTAGTCGTTGTGAGCTGGGCTATGGTGCACCGCTGTGCGTCCTCAAGAAATGATCTATGTTTCTCAAAACTATCCACGTTCAATGGTTTGCTAACGGTGCGCCGTCCAGGGGCGTGCATACCGACAAAACAGTCTGCGTGGGTTGACTTAGGGGTTCAATCCTAGTTTAGGACAATAATAGTAATGATGATGATTTTTAGTAATAGTAATAATATTCTCGATGGCAACATCATATTTAAAATCTTCTTCTTCTTCTTCGCGTTCACCAGCTGTACACTTTGGCGTAAAGTTCTGGTTGTTCGTCCACTTCTGGTCCTGCTCCAGAACCTAATTGTTGCGTGTGCATCAGTTTTACAGTTCAGATTCAATTGAATGCAGACTGCTGGTTCCTTGCCTCTCAGGCAGATGCACTCCGACTTCAAAAGAAGCTCCCCAGTTGGTCGACTCTTACGACATGCTTTTGGGGAGGCAGTGGGTCTATTCTTGTTTTCCCCACAATGGGGTCCCGGAACACACATGGGGGTATATTTGAAATGAAATGAAATGTATTAACGATTACACTGTGAACGAGAATTTCTCTGTATGTATAAAGGAAACCGTTCTGTGACTTACATTTAAGCCTAGTTGTTGTTGGGGAGGGGGGGGGGGATTGCTTAGTTCCCTACAAATATTGGGAGACAAGTGTAGATTAAAGGGGTCCTCGAGTTCCCAGCGAGAGGCCCTCATAGATCCTGAGCCCCCAGGTCCCCGCGCCCATGGCACCATCTGTTCTTAACTCTTTCCACTCGCCATAAGTTCATTAGGCAGTCCATAAACTAGGGTTAAAGAAACTACAAGCATGAGGACCAGAATCTAGGGCTCCAACCTAACTAAGCCCCTCATATAATTATTTATCTAAATCTGCCACCCCCCCCCCCCCCCTTTTCCTTTCCCGCAAACACTCCACCAAAATATTTGTAAAGGGGTTGTGACCACATCTTTACTTTTTCTTTAAAGTATTCGTTTCTACAATTTATGTTTAAACATATGTATATATCACAGTGAGCCTTAGGACTTAGGACCTTGTCATCCCTTTGTGGGATGCAATTGTTCGTTATTTGAAGCCCTACTCTACCTCCTGCCAGGGGCCGCAATATAGCCCTGCCATAAGTATGGTCTAATGGCTGAACGCGGTTTTTGTTACCTCTCCACGGGTGATCCTCATCCACATGGTGGCACTTTGTGTCATCGGGTGTTTATCGCTTGTGTGATGTCCTGGTGGGGTTAAAGAAGATAGGCAGATAGACTTAGGACTCGTAAAGGCACTTCCTAATTATAAAGTCCGTGGTTCCATTCTAGCTACAGGCGGTTCGGCAGAGTCGATCGTTTACTCAACAAAACCTACACAACGCAAAATAGATCAGTAAAACAAATGTATAGGTGTACAAATATTGGAAATGGTTTTGTTGTGACCTGTAAAGAAAATACAGCTTACGTTTTTTCTCCCTCGAATGTCACTGAAAGGACTGGACCCTGCCGGACCTTATTTCGAGAACACAGAAACGGTTGTCCGACTGGATGAGAAGGACGCTCTGTTTGTGGATGCTATCCACACAGATGCCAAGAACCTTCTTCAGCTGGGTAAGACATTCGTTTCTTTCGTGTTTTATTTTTTTTCAGCAGTCAGTTCATATTTTTCATTCCGTATTACTTTTTTTCTTCTTGTTATTATTCTCAACATGTAAATACAGGAAATAACGGAACGGAGGAATAAATTGCGAGCCCTGTGTGATATATAATGGCACAACTGATCGATTAATAATATATTAGTGTTTGTGTGTATGCATGGGTGAATGGATTGTGGGAGTCTAAGTTCCGGTGTGTAAGTTTGAGCGTGTTTGTGAATGTATGCTTATAAGGATATTTGAATGCATGTGTTTGTTAAACAAGCTATTGTTTTCTTTTACCCACACTCTTACTTTGTATTTTCTCCGCAAACATGACATGCTTTGTAGATAAAAACACAATTGATGTGTGAAAAATGTGTGTCTGGAGGGGTCGAATGTAAACGATGTTTTAAAGATGTTATTGTCTGGAGAGGTGGAATATAAATGATGTGTGAAAGATGTGTGTCTGGAGAGGTGGAATATAAATAATATGTGAAAGATGTGTGTCTGGAGAGGTGGAATATAAATGATATGTGAAAGATGTGTGTCTGGAGGGGTGGAATGTAAATGATATGTGAAAGATGAATGTCTAGAGCGGTAGAATGTAAATGATGTGAAAGATGTGTGTCTGAAGGGGTGCAATGTAAATGATGTGTGAAAGATGTGTGTCTTGAGAGGTGGAATGTAAATGATGTGTGAAATATGTGTGTCTGGAGTGGTGGAATGTACACGATGTGTGAAAGATGTGTGTCTGGAGGGTGGAATGTAAATGATGTGTGAATGATGTGTGCCTGGAGGGGTAGAATGTAAATGATGTGGGAAAGATGTGTGTCTGGAGGGGTAGAATGTAAATGATGTGTGAAAGATGTGTGTCTGGAGGGGTAGAATGTAAATGATGTGTGAAAGATGTGTGTCTGGAGGGGTAGAATGTAAATGATGTGTGAAAGATGTGTGTCTGGAGGGGTAGAATGTAAATGATGTGTGTACGATTGTGTCTTGAGGGGTATAATATAAATGATGTGGGAAAGATGTGTGTCTGGAGGGGTAGAATGTAAATGATGTGGGAAAGATGTGTGTCTGAGGGGGGGGGGGGGTATAATGTAAATGATGTGTGAAAGATGTCTGTCTAAGGGGGGGGGGGTATGTAAACGATGTGTGAATGATGTGTGCCTGGAGGGGTAGAATGTAAACGATGTGTGACAGATGAATGTCTGGGGGAGGAGGTAGAATGTAAACGATGTTTGACAGATGAATGTCTGGGGGGAGAAGGTAGAATGTAAACGATGTTTGACAGATGAATGTCTGGGGGGAGGGGGTAGAATGTTAATGATGTGGGAAAGATGTGTGTCTGGAGGGGTAGAATGTAAATGATGTGGGAAAGATGTGTGTCTGGAGGGGTAGAATGTAAATGGGCCTGCGGGTCTTATTCGTAATCATCCAATCGTTCATCCATTTGTTCATCCAATCCTTCATCCATTTGTTCATCCATTTGTTCATCCATTCGTTCATCCATTTGTTCATCCAATCGTTCATCCATTTGTTCATCCATTCGTTCATCCATTTGTTCATCCATTCGTTCATCCAATCGTTTATCCATTCGTTTTTCCATTCGTTCATCCATGTGTTCATCCATTCGTTCATCCATTCGTTTATCCATTCGTTCATCCATTCGTTCATCCATTCGTTCATCCATTCGTTCATCCATTCGTTCCTTCATGTGCTCATCCATTCGTTCATCCATTTGTTCATCCAATCGTTCATCCATTTGTTCATCCAATTGTTCAACCATTCGTTCATCCATTCGTTCATCCATTCGTTTATCCATTCGTTCATCCATTCTTTCATCCATTCGTTCATCCATTCGTTCATCCATGTGTTCATCCATTCGTTGTTCCATTTGTTCTTACAATAGTTCATCCATTTGTTCATCCATATTTTCATCTATTCTTTCGTTCATGTGTTCGTCCATTCGTTCATCCAATTGTTCATCCATTTGTTAATCCAATCGTTCATCCATTCGTTCATCCAATCGTTTATCCATTCGTTCATTCATTCGTTCATCCAATCTTTCATCCATTCGTTCATCCATTTGTTCATCCATTCGTTCATCCATTCGTTCATCCATTTGTTCATCTATTCGTTCATCCATTCGTTCATCCATTCGTTTATCCATTCTTTCATTCATTCGTTCATTCATTCGTTCATCCATTTGTTCATCCATTTGTTCATCCATTCGTTCATCCATTTGTACATCCATTCGTTCACGCATTCGTTCATCCATTCTTTCATTCATTTGTTCATCCATTTGTTCATTCATTCGTTCATCCATTTGTTCATCCATTCGTTCACGCATTCGTTCATCCATTCTTTCATTCATTTGTTCATCCATTTGTTCATTCATTCGTTCATCCATTTGTTCATCCATTCGTTCATCCATTCGTTCACCGGCTGTAAGCTCTCATGGCAAGTTGTGTTTATTTGACACATCTGGGTATTGTTTCTGTTCTAGAACTTGCTACTTGCTTGCACAACCATTCAAAAGATCTACCGATTTGTGTGCAGCCTGTTGGTTTCTCACCTCTCACACAAATCCATTTCGACTTCAAAGGAATTAAAATCATTAATGTAAATAATATTAAATATTTACACTTTTTTTTTAAAATGTATCAATGAAATCAATCCGTCAGGCTCAGGATCTGAACTACAGTTTTTACGAACGGCAGCCACCGCGGTGTAGCGGCTAGAAGCTCGCATGCTGATCGTCAAGTCGTAGGTTCAGTTGCTGGCGGAGCCAGATATTTTCCAGAAGTCACCTTGGCTCCCAGGTAGATTCAGCCTTAAATGAGTACCAGGTAAAGGCATGGGAATTAAAGGCGGTCGGTGAGATGCTGACCACATCACCCACCATCTGCCGACTGGTCTACACAATATAGGTCTTGCTCTACAAGCCAAACACCTGAAGGCTGGGGCAAAACGTTCTTCACCTTTTATTTATGTAACTTTCAATTATGTAACTTTTTGTTATGTAACGAGAATTTTAAAAACAAGTGACGCTAGCGCTTATTTTTGGGTTGTCCTATTTTAAGTTAAAACGCGACTGTATAATACACACTGATAATAAATTGTAAATAATGGATGCCTCATCGTCAGCTAGCCGTAACAGCTATGGACAATTGGCGGCTGTGATAGATAATGTAATTTTAAGATTACTAAACCGCCTTGTGTTGTTTTCGATAATGTTATCGAGAGTCGACCGTTTAGGGGCACAAAGTAATGGAAAACTGGACGTAAATTTCGCTAGAGCGGGCTGCGTGGTCTTGAGGCATGGTAACCGTCTCGAGTGCTAGAGGTTGCGGGTTCAACCCTCGGTAAGAGCTGGGATTTTTTCACGTCGACTTAGTGTGCATTAATGCGCGTGCTAAAAATATCCCTTCGCAGTTGGAAATCGAAAAGAGTGAAATCTACCCACACACAAAAAAAGGATTGCAGGATCCTCGCGGGTGCTAATCGATCCGTCAGGCTCACAATCCTAAGCTACTGTAGAGCTTATTGTAACGAGCGAGAGCCGCCTTAGTGCAGCAGCTAGACGATCGCATTTTCTCTTATGTTGTATTTTGGTAAGAACACATTAAAAAAAAAAAATTATGCTATTCGAAGTTCACTATTACTGTTGTGTCACTGTTTTGAAAATAATGCATTGAGGAATTTTAATCACAGATACTGCTTCATAAGTATCCCCAAACAAAACTGTCTTTTTGTACTAAAAGAGCTACATCAATACACAGACTATCACTATCAAATGTGGCACATCTATATACAGACTATCACTATCAGATGTTACACATCTATACAGAGACTATCACTATCAGTTGTGACACATCTATATACAGACCATCACTATCAGATGTGACACATCTATACACAGACTATCACTATCAGGTGTGACAGTTTTGTCTCCATCCACAGGATTGGGTACCAAGACCCCGAGTGGACACATGGACTTCTACCCAAACTTGGGTCACGACCAGCCCGAGTGTACTTACAACCCCATCACCAACATCATCGCAGGAAATGGCATTATAGTTGGTGAGCTCCTGTGTGTCTCATCGTGTAATAATGTTATAGTCCATGACAGAAGTTGTGCCCATATTTGAAAATCTATAACCAGAAAAGTGTTGGTGTGAAGTGTTGAAATTCAGATAAAATCCATAACCTTATATATTAAAAAAAAATTGTTTTTGTTTTATGTAAGCAAGCATCTAGTTTTCATTTTCCCTTATTTGTGGTATATAGGTTGGGGAAAAAGGGGGGGGGGGCAGATATAGATTCAAAGCAAACCAGACATAGATTCAAAGCAAACCAGACATAGATTCAAAGCAAACCAGACATAGATTCAAAGCAAACCAGACATAGATTCAAAGCAAACCAGACATAGATTCAAAGCTAACCAGACATAGATTCAAAGCAAACCAGACATAGATTCAAAGCTAACCAGACATAGATTTAAAGCAAACCAGACATAGATTCAAAGCTAACCAGACATAGATTTAAAGCAAACCAGACATAGATTCAAAGCAAACCAGACATAGATTCAAAGCAAACCAGACGTAGATTCAAAGCTAACCAGACATAGATTCAAAGCTAACCAGACATAGATTCAAAGCTAACCAGACATAGATTCAAAGCTAACCAGACATAGATTTAAAGCAAACCAGACATAGATTCAAAGCAAACCAGACATAGATTCAAAGCTAACCAGACATAGATTTAAAGCAAACCAGACATAGATTCAAAGCAAACCAGACATAGATTCAAAGCTAACCAGACATAGATTTAAAGCAAACCAGACATAGATTCAAAGCAAACCAGACATAGATTCAAAGCTAACCAGACATAGATTTAAAGCAAACCAGACGTAGATTCAAAGCAAACCAGACATAGATTCAAAGCAATCCACCACCATTCTTACAGCTAATTCAAGGGAAATGTTCAAATGCTCAAATTGTACGCGTTTCATAGGCGTTCTACTCTCAGCTGATCCTCTCCAGCGTTAGTCTCCCGCCACTTGTGGGGTTTTCATTTAATACAGGATAGGCTATCAAAATAATCACCACGCATTTCTGCACATGCGAAATGATTTCTAAACAAGCTCCAGGCCTGTGTCAATTAGCGTATTTCTCTCTGTCTCTCTCTCTCTGTCTGTGTCTCTCTGTCTCTCTCTGTCTCTCTCTCTGTCTTTGTCTCTCTGTCTCTCTCTGTCTCTCTCTGTCTCTCTCTCTCTCTGTGTCTTTGTCTCTCTGTCTCTCTCTGTCTCTCTCTGTCTCTCTGTCTGTCTTTGTCTCTCTGTCTCTCTCTGTCTCTCTCTGTCTCTCTCTGTCTCTATCTGTCTCTCTCTGTCTCTCTCTGTCTCTCTCTCTCTCTGTCTTTGTCTCTCTGTCTCTCTCTGTCTCTCTCTGTCTCTCTCTGTCTCTCTCTCTCTGTCTTTGTCTCTCTGTCTCTCTCTGTCTCTCTCTGTCTCTCTCTGTCTCTCTCTCTCTGTCTTTGTCTCTCTGTCTCTCTGTCTCTCTGTCTCTCTCTGTCTCTCTCTCTCTCTCTCTCTCTGTCTTTGTCTCTCTGTCTCTCTGTCTCTCTGTCTCTCTCTGTCTCTCTCTCTCTCTCTTTGTCTCTGTCTCTCTGTATCTCTCTCTCTCTCTCTCTCTCTCTCTCTCTCTCTCTCATTTTTTTAGGGTTACACACATTGTTAGTCAAACAGATCAACGAAATTCACTGCTCTAAGAGAACGGCAGCACTTGTTTAATTATAGAGTATAAAATCATATGAGCATGATATCGATCCGTACAGGGGTTTCCCACATTTTGTTTAAAGTATGGGCCACACCTTTGAAACGCAATTTGAAAAAAAAAAAAATATTAAACAATTATTTAGTAATATATTTCATTATTTATTACGTCGTGCTATTAAACCCTCAAGGAGTTCGTAGTTCCGTCATCCAATCCATTCTATCCTGTTGAGTTATAATATTGTTAAGGTGTTGCGAGTCCGACTCTTAATTCCAACGTTGGTCTGTAAAAATATGGCTGCTCTTCTCATATGCCCTATGTGCATAAAGGCGTGGAAAGGGATCTTTACTTTACTTTTTTTACCTAATATTGTATTTGTCAATTGGCTATTTATGATTATCAATAAGTAATTTGAGATTTGCAATTTAAAAAAAAAAAAATTTGTTATTACACATCTTTTGCTGGGGATTATTATCGTAAGTCGTAATCTGTGATTATTAACTAGTTAAATTTGATTTTGAGACAGCCTTCTGATTGTTTTCAGTTATTTACTTTTTGTCGTTAATTAGATGCTTGTCATTATTAAATAGTTACTCGTTTTTGTTTAATTTCTGATCGTCATGAATTGGTTGCTTATCGTTAATGATTAGACGCTTGTCATTAATAATTAGTTGTTTGTCTTTATTAATTAGATGGTTGCAACTATTGGCTTGTTGCATTCCATTATTGACTATTTGCTTGTCGTTATTGTTGCTTGTCATTGTTAATTAGTTGCTTGTAATTGTTAATTAGTATTCTTCGTTGAATGCAAGAAAGACCTGAAACTGTTTTAGGAAGAAAGACTGTAACGATTTGTAGATGTCATCCTCTGTAGGTGTTGAGGAGACCATTGCCTGTAGCCATATTAGGGCAGTCCAGTATTTCACGGAGAGCATCAACACGCAGTGTCCCTTTTTGGCCTTCCCCTGTGCCAGCGAGGATGATTTCCAGGTACGTCTTATTGTGTCATCGCTGAAGATCATTGTGGTTTAGTCGTGTGTTTCTTCTTCTTCTTCTTCTTCTTCTTCTTCTTCTTCTTCTTCTTCTTCTTCTTCTTCTTCTTCTTCTTCTTCTTCTTCTTCTTCTTCTTCTTCTTCTTCTTCTTCTTCTTCTTCTTTTTCTTCTTCTTCTTCTCTCGCCTCTTCTTCTTCTTCTTCTTCTTTCTACTTCTTCTTCTTCTTCTTCTTCTTCTTCTTCTTCTTCTTCTTCTTCTTCTTCTTCTTCTTCTTCTTCTTCTTTTTCTTCTTCTTCTTCTTCTTCTTCTTCTTCTTCTTCTTCTTCTTCTTCTTCTTCTTCTTCTTCTTCTTCTTCTTCTTCTTCTTCTTCTTCTTCTTCTTCTTCTTCTTCTTCTTCTTCTTCTTCTTCTTCTTCTTCTTCTTCTTCTTCTTCTTCTTCTTCTTCTTCTTCTTCTTTCTTCTTCTTCTTCTTCTTCTTCTTCTTCTTCTTCTTCTTCTTCCTTCTTCTTCTTCTTCTTCTTCTTCTTCTTCTTCTTCTTCTTCTTCTTCTTCTTCTTCTTCTTCTTCTTCTTCTTCTTCTTCTTCTTCTTCTTCTTCTTCTTCTTCTTCTTCTTCTTCTTCTTCTTCTTCTTTATTCTTCTTCTTCTTCTTCTTCTTCTTCTTCTTCTTCTTCTTCTTCTTCTTCTTCTTCTTCTTCTTCTTCTTCTTCTTCTTCTTCTTCTTCTTCTTCTTCTTCTTTCTTCTTCTTCTTCTTCTTCTTCTTCTTCTTCTTCTTCTTCTTCTTCTTCTTCTTCTTCTTCTTCTTCTTCTTCTTCTTCTTCTTCTTTTCTTCTTCTTCTTCTTTCTTCTTCTTCTTCTTCTTCTCTTCTTCTTCTTCTAAGTTTTGTTCCAATCTTTTCAAGACTTTTAAAGCTCCCTCCACACGCCCACACCAACCCCATTCAGGTTCTGCATTCTATGGTTTTAAAATCTCAAGGATGAGAATTTGCCACAGAGCACCAACCCCGTTCAACCGTATTGTCCGCTGGCACAGCTATACTGGGACACAACACCGCGGACATTTCTGTTTTATCATCTTGCTCCCAGATCGACGAAGCCTTAAATGGGTACCTGGTAAAGTCATGGGAAGTGAATGCGGCCACATCATCCACCAAGTTCCGATTGGTCTATAATTGCTCTATAATAGTCTAGCCCTATGTATAATATAATTGTAACTGACTGTTTTCCAGAACAGGGTGTGTCACGCTTATAATGTAATCGAATGTTTTCCAGAACAGGTTGTGTCACGCTTATAATGTAATCGAATGTTTTTCAGAATAGGGTGTGTCACGCTTATAATGTAATCGAATGTTTTTCAGAACAGCGTGTGTCACGCTTATAATGTAATCGAATGTTGTCCAGAACAGGGTGTGTCACGCTTAAAATGTAATCGAATGTTTTCCAGAACAGCGTGTGTCACGCTTATAATGTAATCGAATGTTTTCCAGAACAGGGTGTGTCAAGCATGTAATGTAAATTTCATAGAACAGCCTGTGTCACGCATGTAATGTAACTATTTCATAGAACAGTCTGTGTCATGCATGTAATGTAACTATTTCATAGAACAACCTGTGTCATGCATGTAATGTAACTATTTCATAGAACAGTCTGTGTCATGCATGTAATGTAACTAGCCTGTGTTACCCTTGTATTTGACTAGTGTCCAGTCCACCCCACCCTGTGTTACCCTTGTATTTGGCTAGTGTCCAGTCCACCCTGTGCTACCCTTGTATTTGACTAGTGTCCAGTCCACCCTGTGTTACCCTTGTATTTAACTAGTGTCCAGTCCACCCTGTGTTACCCTTGTAATTGGCTAGTGTCCAGTCCACCCTGTGTTACCCTTGTATTTGACTAGTGTCCAGTCCACCCTGTGTTACCCTTGAATTTGACTAGTGTCCAGTCCACCCTGTGTTACCCTTGAATTTGACCATATTCCAGAACAACCTGTGCCACAGCTGTACCGAGGACGGGTGTGCCAGGTTTGGGCTGGACGCCGATAAACACAAGCCAGCACAGGGCAAGAAGGTCAAATATTTCCTGACCACTGCTGGACATAAACCATTTTGTCGTGAGTATTTTTTGACATATCCATCCATACATGTTAGTACAACCTATGAATCTCACCCTATCTCGTTTGGCCGTTTAATTTCCTTTTTTTATTCCCATAGGCTGGCCTATGTTCTAGGGGTGTCAGGTGTATCTTGTTTTGAACGTTTTAAACACATCACCACCGACTACAGCCACCACCAGCGAGCGTAAACCGTCGCGCCTTTGGCGCTTTCCCTTGCAGTATTCTTGCTTGTACACAGGCGCCTACAGCGCCTAATTACAATAACAAGACATTCCACAAACAACAAACGTTCACAGAAAAAGACAGTTGCCACACGACAGGTACGGACCTTCGTCCGGGACACAATGTGTTGACCGCGTCGAAGGAACGCCAGCCAGTTTTCCCAAAGGTGAGTATAGACGTCGAAGGGAGGAAATTTATCTCATAACACCTCATAGAACATGGGACAGCCCATGGGAAAGAATACGAAATCACGCCAAAGAACGAGATGGGATGAGATTCGTGAATAGTGCACACAAATTGCTGATCTTTTCCCCTCTTCCCTCCAATCTCCGGCGCCCCAACGTGACATTTGCGACTCTGATATTATTCAGAGAGAACAATCAGCATGCTGTGTCATTTGTTTACCTCTTAATTAAGAGCTTTAACAGCGTTTTTGTTTTCCACTAGGGCTATGTGTTTGGACCCTGTGGGCTCAAAACATCCTTAAGTGTGGTGTTTCTTCTTAAATTAGTTAGGACTTTCTGATTTGTTGGCACTTGATCAACATCATATAGTCGCCTCGATCCTTTTAATAAGCTTAAAGGCAAAGTCTGGAGATATTACCCAGCGTCACTGCACACAGTTATAAACCATAAATGCCCTGCCACCAGTACGGACAGCTGATAAAAAACTGTCCACCTGTATCGCCGTCCGCACGCAACTCCGTAGCTACAGCGACGTTCTTCCATTTACCTTAGAGTTAACACTTTGGTACCCATTACCTAGAGGCTTGGTGAACCCCGGGAACTGCCCGGTTTCGAACACCGGCGGTGGGCTGCAGCGAGTCGCAGTGTGATTTGAAAGTGAGTGTCCTGTCGACTGCACCAACGCGGCCTCCTAAATAGCCTTAACTTATACCCAGTTTAGATTTGGTTCCACTTGAAGCCTTAGTACTTTTATAAACATTAGTCCTCAGACTTCTGGGCAGACAGGAACGAGTCTAAAAACGATGCTACAGAGGACCTAACAACAAAAGGGGCTGTTTAAAAGAAGTCAGAAGTTTACCAACCATAGCTGTGAGGAGTTTATACATTCTTGGAGTATTGTAAGTCAGAAAGAGTCAAACCTGCTTTTCTGGGCAAAGATCCAATCACAACACTCAGGATAAGCCCACATTAGCTTCGTCTCCCTCCTCAATAACCAACGAAGAGTTGCCATTTACTGATGACGCCTGTTGTCATTAGGTTAACTACTTGTCGTGCCTTTAACCCTAGTCTTGAAGTTTGAAGTCTGAACAACTGATCAACATCATGGCAAAGGAGTAGTAACCCATAAGTGCTCCGTTCTTCTTTTAACTCGAGGAAGCTCAGCACCGATGAGGATCCTGAAATACTATGGTTTTTTTTCTAACTCCTAATTTTGCCCGGACAGCGCCATAAGGCTACTTTTTTTTCGATTTCCAACTGCCATGGGATTTTTTTTACGTGCGCTGGAATGCACACGTGCGTCCGATTTCACTACCCAAAGACCAGGGGAAATTACTAGAAGTCCAAGTCTACGTGAAAAAAATCCCAGCTCTTACCAGGAGTTGAACCAAGAACCTCGAGAACTCGAAGCTGATACCATGCCTCGAGACTACGTAGCCCCCTTGCTAGTCTCGGGTGATGGCCAGAGCCCAAAGACACTCTCCGCTGCTTCGTTCTCTCCAGGTATCGGTGTTCAGTATCGTCCATTTAACGTGGGGCCTCTGTCGATGTAACCAATGGATCACTACCTTCCTTGCCCACAACACTTAACTGTAAAAGTAGAAACTGACGATCGAAAGGGAGTTAAATTTTTCCTAAATTAAATTATGTGAATTATTTCCCCATGATTCTCCAGAGCTGCATCTGACCGTGACCCTGAAACTTACCTACGGTAGTGGCGACGACGAGAGGGGAACCCTGGACCTTGTCGTGGTCGGAGACAACGGCACAACTGGGACGATTCAGCTGACTGGGTTGGTGCACTGGTTCCTTTAGACAGTTATCTACTTGTCAGTCTGTCTCCTAATCTATTGTTGTATCTCTATATTTTGATGACTGTATTTCACTCAGTATGTCCGCTGCCATGCTGTCTCTTTCCCAGTAAGTGGGCTTGCGTTTCTGTGTCTGTGAATCTTACTGCTTATCTTTTATCCTATATGTCTCTCTTTGTATTTGTCTTCCTTCAGTCTGGCTGCTTATCAGATTTCCGATAAGTTTCCCTGCATGTCTGTTTCCTAGTGAGTCTGTCTGTTTGTCTGCCTCCCGTTAAGAATGTCTGCTTGTCTGTCTCCTGGTAAGTCTATCTGCTTGTTTGTCTCCCGGTATGCCTCCTTGCTTCTTTCTCTCCTATACATCTCATTTTTTGTCTGCCAGTCTATAAGACTGCCAGCTTTAAGCTAACACTCACAAATAAACACACATAAACACACGTATACACACATACACACACACACATAAACACACGTATACACACATACACACACATAAACACACGTATACACACATACACACGCACAGAGTAAAATCTAAAGACAACTGTACTTCCAACTCAGGGTATACATCTTCGGTTAACGCGAAATTATTAAACATAAACTCTATTTCGTGTCTCTTGCCATTCGTGTTAACCAAGTTTTCCTCTTGTGCGTGTGTGTGTGTGTGTGTGTGTGTGTGTGTTTGCGCGTGTGTGTTTCATGAACTCTCTGTCTGTTAACTGTTGATCTGCCATCTCGATTCTTTAATCTTGACAATCATTTTCCCACAGAGATGATGACCCAGCCACCTACTCACCCCCGGACACAATAGACCTATAAGTTCAACGTCTTGGTCCCCTAACAACTTCGGCAACGTTCCGCTCAGAGCGACCTTCACCTGGACCCACAAAGCAGCCATCTTGGACCCACTCCACTGGGACCTCCTGGGTCTGCAGCACCCGAAGCTCTATCTGGATGAGATCGACATCTACAGGGACGAGACCAGCACAGAGTAAGTCCCCCACTCCAATGACACACTGGCAGACACATCGACAGCCAGACATCGTTTTATATTTTTGCTGGCCCCCTTTTCTCATTGTGTGGCTTGGGCCTTGCGAACGCGGTTTGTAATTCCGAAATGCAAAGCTTAGATTCCAGCTACAGGTGATTCTGTTGCAGACTGCCTTGTGTTTATTTTGACTGAGGTATTTTTTTAAAAGCACTTATCTTGAGGCCTCAGATATCTAGTTTTACTAAAGAATATTTAGAATTCTTTGGACAGCTAAAAAGAGCATTTCAGTTGTTTTGAAAGACGTGAACTAAAAATAAATCATCCATGTGGATAAAGCTTTGGTAGATAACTAAATATAAATCATCCATGTGAATAAAGCTTTGGGAGAGAACTAAAAATAAATCATCCATGTTAAACAAGCTTTGGTAGATAACTAAATATAAATCATCCATGTGAATAAAGCTTTGGGAGAGAACTAAATATAAATCATCCATGTGGATAAAGCTTTGGGAGAGAACTAAATATAAATCATCCATGTGGATAAAGCTTTGGGAGAGAACTAAATATATAACATCATGTTTGTGAATGAAGCTTTGAGAGAGAAATAAACAAATTCCGGTGAATCCTGAGATGAGGAAAAGATGACGGTTATTGAGATGGTAGGATGGTGGCCAGAAGGTGTGTAACTACGGGAACCTCTTGGGTTCAAGCCCACATCGAGCCACATTGTTTCTAAATGCCTTCAGATCGATTCAAACTAAATAGCCAGCTTCACCCGGAAAAGATTTAGATTGTAAGCGCTACTGGTATGCCACTGACTACATCCTCACTGACAGCCCTTATGTCTTTCAGAAATAGAATAGTTCTAGTGCCAGAAACTGTATGCTCCAGTGGCTTGACACAGGTCAGCTAGTTTGGTATTACCTTTTGTGAGTTGGGCCCTAAAGAATACATCAGGTGTTGTGATTGAGTCTTTGTCGTCTACATACTAAACAAGTTATTGTTTGTGTTTTCACCCACCCACAATGGACTACAGGTTACTTCACTACCGTTATGTAGTGCCCCAATAAACAAAAAACAGGATCACTCAAAAACTGATGTGATCAGATCTGCGAGACCACACTGGGTTTTTAGCAATAAAAATTAGGAGGGAAGAAAAACTTTTGAAGAGCACTGAAAAATTACAAGTAAAGTACATAGGTAGTAGTATGAAAGAACAGCCGGGATACTTTCACCACAAACATACAGAACGTGGTGAACAGGGTGGTGCCAAAAGCAACCGGGAAGACAAATTTAAATAGGAATAAATTAATGTGACTTTCTTGAGTGATATTGATCCAATCAGACATTGCGTCTCAATTAGAATCAATGTACCGAACAGAGACCCTTACTCAATACCTTTTACATTTCCTTGACATTTTTTTAATGAATGCAAGGGAAATGGT